CCCTGAGCCCTGGAATCCCCCTCCTCATCCCTGTGCCCCCCACCCTGACCCAGAGCCCCCTGGCCTGACCCTTGGGACCCTCAAGCTCGTTCCTGGGGCCCCTCCATCCCCTGGCTCCTGGGACCCCCTCCCCAAGCCCTGGGACCCCTGATCTCACCCCTGGGACCCCTGATCTCACCCCTGGGACCCCTGATTTCACCCCTGGGACCCCTCCCCAACCCCTGGGACCCCTCCCCAACCCCTGGGACCCCCTCCCCAACCCCTGGGACCCCTGATCTCACCCCTGAGACCCCCTCCCCACCCCCAGTGCCCCCCGCTGTCACCGCAGTGCCCCCATCCCTTACCCCCGTGTCCCCCCCAGGCCCGGGGGGGGCTGCTGTCGCTGGTGCCCCCCGTGGTGGTGTCGGGGGGCGCGGGGGCCGCCCTGTACCTGCTGCCGGTGCGGGGCCAGCGCGTGGCCACCCAGCACTTCCCCGTGGGCGAGGCCGAGGCCGTGGTGCTGGCCCTGATCGGCATCTACGTGGCTGGGATGGCCCTGCCCCACTCCACGCACCGGTACGGGGGGCTTGGGGGGTCCTGGGGGGTTTTGGGATGGCCCTGCCCCCCAGCAGCCACCGGCACAGGGGTTTGGGGAGCCCTGGGGAGGCTCTGGGGGGGGGTCTGCACGTCCCTCAAGCTGCTGGGGGTGCCCTGGGTGGCACAGAGGGCTGTCCCTGGGATGGGGGGGAAGGGGGGTGTCTCTCAGGGGGTCTGACCCCCAGTTTGTTGCCCCCCCAGAGCCCTGTCCGGGGGGGGCCAGCGGGGCTGGATGTCCCTCAAGCTGGTGGCCCTGCTGGCCCTGGCCCTGCTGCTCACCTGCCTGGCCCTGCTCAACTTCTCCCTGGGCTTCCTGCTGGGGGTCACCCTCGTGCCCCCCGCGGCCGCCGTCACGCCCTCGAGGCACAGGTGAGGGGGGCACAGGTGAGGGGGGCACGGGGAGGGGCCTGGGGGGGGCCTGGGGTCTCCCCCTGTGTGTGGGGACACTGTGGGGACGTGGAGAGCTCTGGGTGTCCCTGGTGGTCCCTGACTGACCCCCCTCCCCTCAGTGCAGGCTGCCCCAGGCCGTGCTGCTGGTGCTGGCATTCCCGGGGGTGTCCCTGTTCCTGGGGGTCTCTGGGTGCCCTGGGGGTCTCTGGGTGTCCCTGGGTGCCCTGGGGGTCTCTGGGTGTCCCTGGGTGGTCTCTGGGTGGTCTCTGGATGTCCCTGGCTGGTCCCTGACCCCCCCCAATGCGTTCCAGGCTGCCCCAGGCCGTGCTGCTGGTGCTGACGTCCCCGGGGGTGTCCCTGTCCCTGGGGGGCTCTGGGTGGGCTCTGGGTGTCCCTGGGTGGTCCCTGGGTGTCCCTGGGTGGTCCCTGGGTGGTCTCTGGGTGTCCCTGGGTGGTCTCTGGGTGTCCCTGGGTGGTCTCTGACCCCTCCCAGTGCATTCCAGGCTGCCCCAGGCTGTGCTGCTGGTGCTGGCATCCTTGGGGGTGTCCCTGTCCCTGGGTGGTCTCTGGGTGCCCTGGGGGTCTCTGGGTGTCCATGGGTGGTCTCTGGGTGTCCCTGGGTGGTCCCTGACCCCCCCCAATGCGTTCCAGGCTGCCCCAGGCCGTGCTGCTGGTGCTGACGTCCCCGGGGGTGTCCCTGTTCCTGGCGGTGCTGCTGGAGCGGGAGCTGCTGGAGGCGCCGGCGGGGCTGGGGGAGGCCTGGCAACGCTTCCTGGGGGTCCTGGGCCAGGGGCTGCTGCAGGACCACCTGCACGGGGCCTTCCTGAGCCCCCTGCTCGCCCTGGGGGCCTACCCCTGCTGGCTGCTGCTCTGGAACGTGCTCTTCTGGAAGTGAGGGGCGCGGGATGGACACGCGGACATGGCAGGGACACAAGGACAGATCCACGGATGGATGTGGGGACACACGGACAGACAGACCCACTGACACACGGACAGACCCACAGTGGGACCCCAAACGGAGACACCTCTGGACGGCCCCACGGACAGACCCCTGGCAGACCCCAAACCCTGCAGCCCCCCTGAGGACCCCCAGATCCCCCCCAGCCCCCAGGGTGCTGCCTGGAGTGACGTCCCTGTGCTCCCCCCACAGCTGAGACCCCAGCCCAGCCCCGGACTGGGGGGCTTGGAGGGGGGTCAGTTGGGACCCCCGGAGCGTGGGCACATCCCTTCATCCCTTTGGCACCGGGACCCCAAAATGGGGGGCTTGAGGGGGTCTGTTGGAACCCCCAGGGTGTTGGGGACAACCCTGTGCCCCTGCTGGGCTTGGGACCCCAAACTGGAGGGGTCAGGACTGTTCCAGCCACCCCAGGACTGAGAGCCCCAGCTGAGGCTTTGGGGCTGTGTTGGGACCCTCAGGGGGTTAAAGGACACCCCTGTTTACCCCCTGGATGAAGACCCCAAACTGAGGGTGCAGGGGAGTTTCTTGGGACCCCTGCTTGGGGTGAGGACACCCCTGTGCCCGCCCGGGACTGGGCTCCCAGACTGGGGGTTCAGGGGGTCTGTTGGGACCCCTGGGGGGGACTCCTGGGGTGATATCCCTGCCCCTTCCCTCTCCCAGGACCAGGACCCCAAACTGGGGGTTTGGGGTGGGGGTCTGTTGGGACCCCGTGGGGGGACGGGGTTTCCTGGGGTGACATCCCCGATCCCCTCCAGGACCGGGACCCCAGACTGGTGTTTGGGGGGACTCTGTTGAGACCCCCGAGGGGCGGGGCCTGCGGAGGGGGCGTGGCTTCCTGTGGGGGGCGGGGCCCGCGTTCGGCGTCTGTCTCGGTCCTCCGGCCCGCCAGGGGGCGCCGCAATAAACGGAGCTTCCCTGCTGGTCACGTGTCGTCCGTGACGTCACTCCGTCGGGTACGTCAGTTCCGGCCGGTGCGGCGCGTCCCCTCGACCTCGGCGATGGCGGCGCTGCGGGGCCTGCGGGGCCTGCCGGGGCTGCGGCGGCTCCGGGCACCGGGCCCGACCCCCCGCCCGCCGCTGCTGCTGCCGCGGGGCCGCCCCGCCACCGCCCCGAGCGCCGTGAGTGCCCCCCGCGCCGGGCGCTGCGAGAAGGTCACGGGGGCGGGGAGGGGGAGACCTCCCCCCTCAGGGACTGTGGGGACCCCCCTCGGGCCCGCCCGGGGCCCTCGCTTCGAGCCCCGGGGCTTCTGATTCTTTTCCCGCCCTCCCCGGTGTTCCCCGGCCCCGCCCGGTGCCCCCGGTTCTTCCCCGGTGTTCCCAGCCCCGCCTGATGCCCCCGGTCCTTCCCCGGTGTCCCCCAGCCCCCCTCCGGTGCCCGGTCCCTCCCCGTGCTGTCGCCGGCCCGCGGTGTCGCCCATCTTTCCGCGGGTCTCCCCCGTCTTGTGTCCCGGTGCCCGTCCCTGCCCGGGGTCCCCCCGCCCCGCTCGGCCCGGTGTCCTTTGCCCGGTGCCCGGCGGGTGCGCTCCAGCCCTGCCCGCTCTTCCCTGTTCCGAACTCCCGGTGCCCTCTCTGTACCCCTGACCCCTGTGTCCCCCCCAGATGTCCCTGTCCCCCCCTGACCCCCGTGTCCCCCCCAGGTGTCCGTGTCCTCCGCCCCCCCCGGCTCTGGGGGCCGTTCCCGGCGGGCTCTGGCTGCTCTGGGGGTCCTGGCAGCAGCAGCGGGGGGGTCCCTGTCCCTGGCCCTGTCGCTGGGGGGGGGCCCCCTCAGTGCAGGGGAGCTGGAGCTGCACCCCCCGGCCTTCCCCTGGAGCCACGGGGGGCCCCTGCAGGCCCTGGACCACGCCAGGTATGGGGGGCACAGGGGGGGGTCTCCAGAGTGTTCCTGGGGGGGGGCTGCAGCTTCCAGGGCCCCCCCAAGTCCCAAGCCTGCTCTGCAGTGGCTGGAGGGGGTTCCAGGCCCCCCACCAGGCGTTCTGGGGGGGGTTGGGGGTCCCTGAGCCCCCTTGTCCCCATGGTGTATGCAGGGGGTTCCAGGTGTCGGGGGGGTGTTTTGGGGGGGTGTTCTGGGGGTCCCTGACCCCCCCTGTGCCCCCAGCCTGCGCAGGGGGTTCCAGGTGTCGGGGGGGTGTTTTGGGGGGGTGTTCTGACCCCCCCTGTGCCCCCAGCCTGCGCAGGGGGTTCCAGGTGTACCGCCAGGTGTGCTCAGCCTGTCACAGCCTGGAGTACGTGGCCTTCAGGAACCTCATCGGGGTCACCCACACCGAGGCCGAGGCCAAGGCTCTGGCTGAGGAGGTGAGACCCCCCAACCCCCCTGAGGGACAGGCCCCCCTCCTGGGGTCACACTGTCCCCTCCTGGGGTCACACTGCCCCCTCCTGCCATGCCAAGTGTCCCACTGCCCCGGTGTCCCGGTGCCACCGTCCTGCCATCCCTGGTGGCCTTGTCCTGCCATCCCTGGTATCCCCCTGAGTGTCCTGCTGTCCCCCTTGCCCTGCCTGGCCTGCTGTCCCTGTGCCCTGGTGTCACCCCCCTGCCATGCCCAGTGTCCCACAGCCTGTGTGGGCCATCCCTGGTACCCTGGCACCGCTGTCCTGCTGTCCCCAGTGTCACCATCCTGGTGTCCCATCGCTGCCGTCCTGCTGTCCCCAGTGCCACCATCCCGGTGTCCCATCGCTCCCGTCCTGCTGTCCCCAGTGCCACCATCCTGGTGTCCCATTGTTCCCATCCTGCTGTCCCCAGTGCCACCATCCTGGTGTCCCATTGTTCCCATCCTGCTGTCCCCAGTGCCACCATCCTGGTGTCCCATCGCTCCTGTCCTGCTGTCCCCAGCAGGGCCGTTGTCTTCATGTCCCATGCCCTTGTCTGGGCATCTCCTGCTGCCACCATCCTGGTGTCCCTACCAGTGTCCCCTGTCCCCATCCTGCCATTCCCAGTGCCCTGTGTCCCCATCCTGGTGCCCTGTGTCCCCATGCTGCCGTTCCTGGTGCCATGCTGTGCCAGCCCTGCTGTCTCTGGACCCTGGTGGCCTGGCCCAGCCCTGGTGGCCCTGGTGGCCCCAGTGGCCTGGCTCAGCCGTGTCCCCGTGCCCAGGTGGAGGTGCAGGACGGGCCTGACGAGAACGGGGAGATGTTCATGCGGCCCGGCAAGATCTCCGACTACTTCCCACGGCCCTACCCCAACCCCGAGGCTGCCCGGGCGGCCAACAACGGGGCCCTGCCCCCCGACCTCAGCTACATCGTCAACGCCAGGTTTGGGGGGCTTTGGGGGGGTCCTGGGGGGTCACTGGGGATGAGGAGGGGTCACACAGCGGGGCCCTGCCCCCCAGTCTCAGCTACATCGTCAGTGCCAGCTCTGGGAGGTCCTTGGTGGGTTGGGGGCTCCCAGGGTTTTGGGGCCACGGGGGTGATGGGGGGGGGTCCCGATCAGGCTTTGGGAGTGCCCAAGGGGCTTGGTGGGTCCTGAGGTTTGGGGGAGACTTAGGGGTTTGGGGGGGTCCCAGGTGCACATGGGGCTTGGGGTCTCCATGGAGCGGGGAGGGGAGAGGGGATCCCATTCCCAACCCATTCCCAACCCATTCCCTCGCCGCCCCCCCATCCTCTCCGTGCCCCTGTCCCCGCAGGCACGGCGGGGAGGATTACGTGTTCTCGCTGCTGACGGGGTACTGTGACCCCCCCGCGGGGGTCTCGGTGAGGGAGGGGCTGCACTACAACCCCTACTTCCCGGGCCAGGCCATCGGGATGGCCCCGCCCATCTACGACGAGGTGCTCGAGTTCGATGACGGTACAGGGGGTGCTCGGGGGGCTGGGGGGGCTGGGGGGGGGTTGGTCCCGGGGTCTGTAGGGGTGCTGACACCCCCCTCGTGCCCCCCCAGGGACCCCCGCCACCATGTCCCAGATCGCCAAGGACGTGTGCACCTTCCTGCGCTGGGCGGCCGAGCCCGAGCACGACCACCGCAAGCGCATGGGGCTCAAGGTGGGTCGGGGGCTCCGGGAGGGGGGAGTCAGGGGGTCCCCAGGCCCCC